AATGCCTGAAACCACCAGTAGTACTGAACCCTATATATACTATGTTTTTCCTACACATCCTCATACAGACCTATGATGAAGTTTATAGGTTGAGCACAATCATATATGAACAATAATAAAAAAGGAAACTATAACAACATACTTTCATAAAAGATATGTGAATGTGATCTCTCTCTATCTCAAAATATCTTATGGTACCATATTCAGCTATTTTTGGACCATGGTTGACCTCATATGGTAGGTAACCGAAACTGCAGAAAACAAAATCATGGATAAGAAGGAATGACAGTAATTAAAAATAATCTTGTGATGAGGTAGAATGGAATAGTGTGTGTAAAGCACAATGAATAACACTAAAAATCTAATAATAGTTTACATACCCGGTCTAGCATGTAGTATGCACTCCATAGTTAGTAGGTTTTTTTGGTTTTTTTTTGTTTTTCTTCTGGAGAGGTTTTTGCTATAGGGCGCGTGTGCTTGCCAGAAAGACAGAGAGAGACAGAGAGGCAGAAAGTGAGAAATCACCCCCCAGCGGGGATGGCCACGCTGCAATCCCTTCTCCTCCATTCTCCTCTTGCGATCTTGGGCACGCACGCACATGCACCCAGTGTGAGTTTAAGCCACCAGGTCTGGGACTCGAACCACAGTCGACTACACAGGAGTCCAACGACATAGCCATTACGCCAACTGCTGGTCCCAGTAATTATTTTTTGATTGTTCTTAAGATAAATGTATAGATTTATAGCTGTTTTTGATGAGACCTGTGAGCATATGATACAATAATTTAGAGTGTTCTGTAAATAGCACGGACTATCTCCTTTTTAAGAAGGTGTAATTTGATGTGTGTCTTAGTCTGCTCAAGCCACTATAGCAAAATATCATAAGCTGTGTGATTAAAGGACAGAAATTTTGTTCTCACAGTTTTGGAGGCTGGGAAGTTCAAGATGAAGGTGCTAGCCTATTCATTCTTGGTGAGGGCTCTCTTCTGGGCTTGTAGACAACTTGCTTCTCCCTCTGTCTACACATGGCCTTTCTTGGAGCCTGGGGAAGGAGAAGGAGGGAATCTCTGCCTTTTCTTAGGAAGCTACTAATCCTGGGGACCAGCGGGTAGTGTAGTGGTTAAGGTGCTAGACATTCCAATATGGCCGACTACTGTTCAAGTCTCTGGTCAAATTAAAATAAATGAATGAATAAATAAAATTAAATAAATAATTCTTGAAAAAAAAAAAAAAGGAAGCCACTAATCCCATAATGAGGGCCCTACCTTAAGCTAACCCCAATTACCTCCCAATTGTTTATCTCCAAATAATATTACTTCATGAGAGGAAGTTCAAAAGTGTCTATTGGAACTAGATGAACATTCAATCCATGCAATTTATTTTAATTTCGTGTCAGAAAGTTTCAATGACAGCAAAAGACAGCAAAAATGGTGATATATGGTGTTAGACAGTAAGTTACCGTAAATGCAACTTCTTCACTATTTACATACGTACATGTGTTTATACATTGTGCCTAAGTCCAGATAAAACTGCATTGTATTTTAATATGGTTTAAGAAAGCTTCCACTTGGGATCAACAGATGGCATAGCAGGACTCCTACATGGCTGACTGTGGTTCAAATCCCAGACCCAGAGGCTTCAAAATCATGCCAGGTGCACGTGCATGAGCAAGATCCCAGGAGGAGAATGGAGGAGAAGGGATTGCAGCTTAGCCATACCCCCTGGGAATGATTTCTCACTTTCCCTCTCACTGTGTCTGTCTCTTTCTCCTGAGTGCATGTGCCCTAAGGCAAAAACTTCTCAAAAAAAAAAAAAGTTTCCACTTAAAGGAGTTCTGTGATTTTTTTGCAAACCATGTCATGCTTCTGTGATCAGAATCATCCTTTTTTTTTTTTTTTTTTCTGTTGTTTTTTTTTTTTGAGAGATTTTCACTGTAGGGCGCGTGCACTCGCCAGACAGACAGAGACATAGAGACAGAAAGCGAGAAATCACCCCCCAGGGGGGATGGTCACGCCGCAATCCCTTCTCCTCCATTCTCCTCTCGGGATCTTGGGCACGCACGCACACGCGCCCGGCGTGAGTTTTAAGCCACCGGGTCCGGGACACGAACCGCGGTCGACTACGTGGGAGTCCAGCGACATAGCCATTACGCTAACTGCTGGTTCCCTGTTGTTTGTTTTTTGATTTTACATTTAAAATTTTAAATTTGCCATAGGGCATGTGAACTTGCAGGAGAGACACAAAGAGGAAGAAAGAGTGAGAAAGCACCAACCTTCCCTCCCCTGGGGCCCCTCTCTCCCCACTCACAATCCCTCTTCCTCCACTCTTCTCTCAGGTTTTTGGGCATGTAGGCAAGTGTTTTCAAGCCACTGGATCCAGGACTTGAACTATGCAGTTGGCCATGTGGGATCCATTTGCCTTAATCTCCATAACACCAGGCTAGCTCCACAATCATTGTTCTACAATTTATCTGTTTTGTAAATTTGGTTATTTGCATATTTGGCTTTCTCCCCTATGTCTGCATGGATTTGCTGTGAGGCTTCTTATAGAATGTATATTTACTGCATGGTATCTTCTTCAACAAGTCTTCAGTAGGTAAAAATGTAGCCAGAAAGTCAGAAAAGTCAGACCAGCAGATGGTGTAATGGTTATGTCTCTGGATTCTCAAGTAGTCGACCGTAGTTTGAGTCCTGGACCTGGTGGCTTAAAACTCCTGCCCGGCACAGGTACATGCATGTGCATGCCCCAAATCCTGAGAGCAGTTGGAGAAGGGATTGTGGTGTGGTCATTCCCCCTGGGGAGTGATTTTTTGCTTTCTGTCTCTCTATCTCTCTGTCTCTCTGGTGAGTGCAGGTGGTGTGGTTAAGGCACTGAATTACATGTCCAAGCACAGTTTGTGTTCCAGACCTGAAGGTTTGCTTTCTCACTTTCTCTTTCTCTGTCTCTCTGGTCAAATTATTTTTTAAAAAATGATAATAACAAAATGAAATAAATGGTTATTTATTTATTTTTTCTTTTTTGGAGAGATTTTTGCTATAGGGCGCGTGCGCTTGCCAGACAGACACAGAGAGACATAGAGACAGAAAGCGAGAACTGCCCCCCCAGGGGGAATGGCCACGCCGCAATCCCTTCTCCTCCATTCTCCTCTCGGGATCTTGGGCACACACGCACACGCGCCCGGCGTGAGTTTAAGACACCGGGTCCAGGACTCAAACCGCAGTCGACTATGTGGGAGTCCAGCGACAGAGCCATTACGCCAACTGCTGGTCCCTATAAACGGTTCTTTAAAAAAAGAAAATGTAAATGTTAAATACTTGTCAATCTACATAAATAGAAATATAATGAAAGAAATTAAAGTATTTTTTACTAGATGCTATTTAAATGGTTGTCTTACAAATCAACACAAAGGCTTTACTAGTAAGTCTTCCTCTTGGCAGGAACAGCAAAAAGAGAAAATATGAAGGGCATATGAAATGTGAAATAGGAGATGACAAAAAATTCACGGTAAAATGAAATTAAAACACACAGTTACAACGGTCTAAAATGTCTTGTAATTTATATAACTTTTTCATAGTAGCACATTTTCTAAAAACTTTCTGAAGACCCTTTCTTCTCCTCCCACCCCCCCCTTTTTTTTTTGAGAGATTTTTGGTATAAGGTGTGGGCACTCACCAGAGAGACAAAAAGAGACAGAGAGTGAGAAATCATCCTTGGGGGGAGGGGTGGCCACATCACAATCCCTTCTCTTTCATTCTCCTCTTGGTATTTTGGCACCCAGCATATGGTTAAAGCTGAGATCTGGGACTCAAACCACAACCATGTGGGAGTGCAATGATACCCATTATGCTGTCTATTGGTCCCTCTCCTCCCAACTTTTTTTTTTTTTTTTTAAGAGGTTTTTGCCTTAGGGCAGGCGTGCTTGAGAGAGAGAGAGAGACAGTGAGAGG